TATGGATTGTGATTAAAATGAGTTTTCCTTTAATGGAGATGCAAATGCAATTGCAGAAGCTTGGTACATTTACATCCAAAATTAATTAGACTTCATTAGCAATAAGCCTCTGGAAATTTTAATTTAGAGAGTCCCCTGGAGCACTACATTTCAAAACAGAATGCAACAAGGCTTTGGATGCTTGACGGGTGGTGTCGCATATTGTCTGGGGATGTGGTTGTTCTGCAGCAGGAGGAAATTATTCTCGAACATGATTTTTTTTATCACTCTGGGAATGTGAGCCAACACGTTTAAGGAAACTGCTTGCATGTGAAATATGCCAGATCAGCAGGTAATTGTGGCCACACATGAAAAACATGATCGTGGAGCTTCTGACGTTGTCTCTGCTGATCTGTGTCCATCTACACCAGCACAGCCTTTATCCGCGTGCTTCCACAGGAAAATTACTGAGTCCTTCTCATCTACTTCCCTCTGGAACAATTGTTTCTGCTCTGGTGCTCCAAAACACTGACACCTTTTAGTTTGTGTGTTTTTGTTAAAGTCATGCTCTTTTTATTAAAAAAAAAAAAAAAAGCAGGAGGTGAGACTCCCAGTTACGGAAAACAGCCACACCTGTAACATTTAAACCACTAATGCTCAGATCTGTTACTGACCCCACCTGCTCTTCTACCAGCCCTTTCTCCAAGGCTCTTTGCTACTACCAGACCCAAACTGCCTGTGCTGGTGCTGCCCTTGTGTGTGCAGCCCTCACCTCATTTTCATGAACTTCCCACCAGCATCAGCCCCAGGTTGGTCCCAGCAGCAAGGACAAGACCCATGGATGGTGTCTTCTTGGGTGTTGGGATGGGGTCCATGGCTGTTGTCCATCCACCAACACCTCTAACAGGAATCATTTGCTCTCTCACAGACTTATTTTTAGGTAGGAGGAATCTGAAGCTTGTGCAAATGTTTAAACACATGTCTCTCCTGCATTATTCAGTGTACTTTGCCTGCTTCTGGAGTTAATTAAAACGGAGGGCAGTCGATAGTGAGTTCTCACTTCACCGTGGGGAGGAGGCAGCAGGCTGTGCAGCGGGAGCACTGATAACCACCTGCCAAGGAACAGCCCCAGCAGCCTCATCTCTTTCTTCCTTGTTTTCTGCTATGGCTGGAAGAGGCTTTTCCCACTCCCTGCGCATCAAAAATCTCCAGACTAAGCACAGCTCTCATCCTCTTAAAGTCAAGGAGGAGCTTGAGACTGGAATTTGAATTTCACCTTTGAACAGGTGTGAGCCAAAGCCCTGTGGAGTCAAGAGGGGTCCTTCCTCTGGCTCTAGCAGTGTTTGGTCCCAGAAAGGCTGTAACATTTACCCAACAATAAATGATCTTGTATAAGGGTATATTAATCCACACATAGATCCATGCCCTGCTCCTACTCCTGTGAAATGTTATGAAGAGCAAATTATGTACCAAGTTGCGCAACCTTGAGTTTCTCATCTGCCCATGTACAGAAGTGATTGCAGAAACTATGGTACTGCACTACACTGAAACACTCATCTCCTAATGAGTACCTTTGTCCCTGATTACACACCAAATACAGTCACAGTTTCCCTTGGTGAATCAAGCTAATGACAAAAATGCAGGGTTTACATATAATCCAACAACTCAGTGAGTAGTTTTCTCCAGAATGTGAGAAACAGGCAGAAATAGTTTATGTAGAAAGGAGAAGAGACTATGTCCCCCCCTGTTCACACAGGACTCCTGGGCACTATTTTTCCCAGTAACAGACAGGTGCACTTGCCATTAGTGTTACTGCAGGGAGTGCAAAAGGGCCCCTCACCTGGAAACAGGAACAGGAATGTCACCACAGTGCTCCCCTGAGAACAGTGAGTGAGAATGCAGCTCCAACACATGGAGCCGATTTTACTCCAAGAAAGTGAAAATATCACCACAGGTGAGCTGAGCATATTTGTAATGAACGAGTATTGCCGAATTCTCGTTAAGCTCATGACATTTTGCAAGGTGCTCTAACTGAGCAGGTTTTGGGAGCTGGAACACCAAAAATATACCTTTGCACCTGGAGAAAAGAATGTCACATGGCTGAGCTGGTGACATTTCTGATCACACAGACTCCATCACAGTCTTCATTTCACTTTGTCCAACATCTCCAGGCTCACACCGAGAAATTGCTTACCCTGACCTAAACTCAAGTTACATTCTGGTACATCTAATATTTGCACGATTGGGCTGCTTGCTTTGTAAAGATGTTTAAACAAGAAGGTCTGAGTTAAAGTTCAAGTTCAAGTGTCTGCACTAAGCTGGAGACAGCAACTAAAATACAGCCTGATTTATAAGAGGCACTGCTGTACTTTGAAATGACAACTGAGTGCTTGAAAGTCTTTGGGAAGGATTCTTTTTATTTTAGTACAAATAAAACAAGGGTTGTTTTTGTTGGTTTTTTTTTTTTTTTAAGCATTTTGGGAAAGGCAATATCCTTACCTGGTTTCAAGGCTGAGTGCTGGCAGACAGTGGATGCCTTTTATCCTGCTGTTGTCAGAAGCTGATAGTGGCTGGCCAGCTCTGTTCCCAGCCAGCACAAACTTCGATCCTTAAAAGGCAGATCTGTGGATGAGAGCCAGGAACAGAACAGCCATTCCTGTCTGCAGCCCCAAGGAGACAGCGCAGGAGCACAACTGCTGCTCTTCTCATGCAAAATGTGGGTGGGAAGGTGACAGCCTCCAGATGGGAAAAGGGACTTTCCTGATGAAAGCGCCTGAGAACCGCTGGGTTAGAACAAACCCATCTGGAATGACAGCTGAAACGTGCCAAAAGAAAACTGCCTTGCCTTGGGATCAATCCCATAAATTACAGCAAGTTTTATCAGAAAACGGATGGTCCTCGGGGACCTTATTTCTGAGCCTGTATCACTGGATGCAGGTTGTTTATGTCTTGCTTTAACACGTTTGTGGGAGGAAGTGCTCTGCTGCCAAAACACACTTCAATACTTGCACTGTTCGTGTGCAGCAATATTTAGACGTAGCAAAACCACCAGTCTGCCCCTTCCCATATCAGTGGGAAGCTACAGGACAAAGAGATGGATTCTGTGTCCACTGTGCTGGAGAGGGAGATAAATGGTAAATGTGAGTGGAGAGCTGTTGTTTTCAGGAACAGCCAGTGTTTCAGTTCCTGTCCCATGCCAGAGCTCGAGGCTGTGCTTGTTGTGACAGGAAACAAGAATCACGATGTGAAGCCAGGGGCACATGTCACCCCAGCAGGCTCTTTGCTCTCCCTCAGCAGCACCAGGGTGTGTTCAGTGCACAGAGCAGCTGTGCTAAATGTCCCTCCAAGCGAGAGGATTGGTCATTAACTTCAAACCTGATCCATAGCCTGGCAGGTGAGGAACCGTATTCCTTGGACCTGATCCATAACAAACCTTCTCTCTGTCTCTGAGCAGTTATCTTGTTTCTCATGGGGAGGAAAAGGACTTTCTGGTTTCTAGTAGGAGTCAGCACCCTGACTATTTCATCAGTGAACACCCAAAGCTGTCCCTGGGACGGCACCACAAGGACCTGGCTGGATGTCACGCTGCTTCCCGCTCAAAACCCCATGGCACCTGCTTTTCTTCCAGGAAAGGGGATGCCTATTTCCTGAGGGCCTGCTGGATCCAAAGTCAACAGCAGACACAGGCAGAAAGAGATGAAACCCAGACCCGGGCAGCCTGCAAGCTTACAAATGCTCCCAATCCAAAATTCCAGAGCTCCTCTTTTTTCCTATTCATCTTGTAACTGGAATGAGACCATGGGACATGGAGGAGGAGCACAGGCATGTTGCTGTTGTACAGCCAAATGTAGAGATGACCAGCTTTAATTTTCGGGATAAGCACATCCCTGCTCTGGTCAAGGAGTGCCTGCAGCCTTCAGAAAAAGGAAGCTGAGGGTTGACTCTTCTCAGATTTTAATCTAGAACTTAAACTCTTGGTAGCAGGATGTCTCTTTTATCATTTGCAGTTTCTGGTGAGACAGAGCCCTCCTCCAGAACCAGACTTGAACCACTCTCATAATACCAGTAATATTTTCCCCCCTCTAAGTGACGCACGTTGGCAAAATGTTCCATCACAGCTGCACAGCCTCGACCCCACAGGGCCCACAGGAACAGCCCCCAGCACGGGCTGCCCCCAACACCTTCCAGTGAAGAGCAGAGAAATAACAAACCAGCTCATTTCATCTTGCAGCTAATCCCTGTCCTCTCCCAGGAGCAGCAGCTGGGGCTGCACAGGGTAAAGCCCTGGAGGGTGATGAATCACCCAGCCCACAAGGAAGAGTTTTCTAAACACCACTGGGTCAATGACCACCTTAAACGTCGGGATGGGGAATAAATTGTGACCTCTAGAAGTTGCTGCACCAGCCCTGGCAGCCTGAGGGCCACCAGTTCGTCGGGGAGGGGCGGGAAGCTGGGAAACAGAAACCGCATTAACGTCTCTGCAGGTCTCTCGATTACTTTATGCAAAAATCTTGGGATTTCACACTCCCACCACAACCCGGCCCGCGGGGCCCCTCTGCCGTCGTGTCCCAGCACTGCAGAGTTAATTCACACAGCACAAACATCAGTCAGCAGCACAGGCTCCCTGGACAACTCCTTCTTTCCAGGGATTTTGATGACATCGCTACAGAAATGACCCGGGAAATTCACAGTCTCCCACTTACAGGTCCAGAGAAGACCCGAGCAAGGGACTGTCCCAGCTCTATCACTGAGACTGTGAAATAACCCATGCCCCACCACATAGACATGTAAGAGTTACAGTAGCCAGCCAAGACATATTAAAAAGTACCTAAATAGGGCTCAGTTTTCTGTATTGCTACAGAGTAATTCATTCTGCTACCAAGTATCACCCACTGAGCTGCCCTTCTGCACTTTAATATTCACCACAGCACAGGACCCTGCTTTGGGAACCATTTTTGCAGACTCCCAAAGCACAGCATTTCTGGAAGACCTCCCAAGACAAAGTAGTCAATAAACAGGCAAACTGTGTAATATTTTATTCAGATAAATCGTATTTTTATGCCCAAGGACACAGGTAAAAGGAGCACACTCCAGGTGAGCAGGCTGTCGTTCCCGGGATCCCGTGAAGCTCAGATGGCTGCCATCCTTCAGTTATCACAGTACTGTACCTTTACAAGAGACAGCATCAGCACTGTGATAACTGAGCCAGGGCAGCCTGTCAGTCATTGCAGCCCCTCCGTGGCACTGCCAAGCCCAACAGGCATGTCCTCCACCTCCTCATCCCTCACATCTCCCAAAAACCCCACATCACCCCTCAGGGGAAAGCATTTCACAGTGGCTTTGCAGCTGAGGTTTACTCCAGAAAATTATCCACATGACTGAGGTTTAATCCAGAAAATCATCCAGATAATTAGTGTTATCTTAATGACCAGGTTGGATTCCACAACACAGCTCAAAGTGTTTTCAGTAGCAGCTCCTTCTGGCCAAATCCACCCACGCTGGATTTAATGGAGACAGTGTAACCACACCTCTACAAAACAACAGGGGCACCCCTCTCTTCCACCTTAAATCCACTGGAGCCACACAGCAGCATTTGGCTTATGCTACTCAAGTATTGAATGTCATGGACCAGACAGGCAGGGAGTACCATGGCAGCCAGCCAGGTAAGTTGGCAATTTTAGGCCATAGGATCCACATAGAAAATTGGGAAATACACAATCCCACTGCAAAGTAGCTAAATTACAAGCTTCTATCAACCTATACTTTATCCCGCTTTGTTTTTTTTCTTCCCTAAAAACAGGCATTGCTGAAAACAACATGGAACAACTTCTACGCCCCCCACTTTGCCTAAGGGAATCAGATACCTTAAGTTCTGAAATGGGTTTATAAAACAACAACAGTTTTACATTGTAAAAGTTAATATGTTACTAAGTTTCTTATAAAAGTTCATTTATGATGTGGATGGACTCGACCAGCACAAGTCGCTTTAATGTTTCCACCAGGAGGAAGCAGAAACTCCAGGAGTGGTTTTTTAACACTAAATAACTCACCTGGTAAAGAACATGTCCTGAGACCACCATAAAGACTGTTTTTAAGAGAGAAATACGTAACATTTGCTTGATCCAGCCACCAAAATGGTGCCTTACAAGTCTGTAACTCCAGAGGGCAATGGAGAGACAAACATGGAATATCCAAGGAGCAGCACGCAGGGGAAAAAAAATATTTGTACATTTTAAAACAAACTCCAAACATACATTACATAAAAAGGGGACAGTCAACAGATTATGCAATACTGACGTAAGATGACACAGATGACTTAAACATGCATCCCAAAAGTTGCAGATTTGCCACAGTTTGTGGATTAATCATTAAGGAATTGGCTGTTGGTAGGGAAAAACAACAAAGAATCTGCTAAAAATGTTAATAAATTCTGTACATACAACGGTGATTCTGAAAAGGAAAGAAGCTGCATAACTAATGAACCATTTGCTCTCACTTTGAGATGTTTTTACAACACCATTGGTATTCCAGGTGAAAAATACTAATGATTTCAGTGGAATGGCACAAGTGTAGGATTGGGAATCCTACATTTCACAGGCTGAGGTGATGAGAGAAGAGTCACCATTCTACAATTTAACTATGCTTTGATCACTGTATTCAGATTTTCCTCCGTGATCCAGCAGTTCCTATCACATCATTAAAAACAAGGTGAACAATCCCAGCACCTTCTGGCACAACTACTGCTGGAGTTACACATGTATTCCAAGGGCTGGTGCCATTTTCTCTAGAGGATCCAGCTCTTACACCAATACAAAGTTTGTTGTCTTGCATCTAACACACGCACACACACATACACTGATTTTTGCTTTGCTTCAGCCAAACTAAAGCTACACAAACCTGATGCAGAAAGCTTATGTAGGTTCTCCATTATTATCTGAAAAAAACACCCTTTTCAGCAAAACCCACATTAGTTTTGGAGTCCAGTACACATTTTTGTTCTTGTTATTGCTAAGGCATTGCATATTTCCATATGCTTTTTTTAAAAAAAAATCCTCTAGTTTCCAGTGTTTGCTGCCAGTTCTTGCCTTTGAAACCCTCCTAAATTGGCCTGGCTGGGTTTTAAACTCCAGCTCCACCTCCTGCCCCTTTGGGGCTGGCGATTATACCTGTTTTTTCCACTTGTTTCACACGAACCAAAATTCCTTCAGCACCACACCGCTGGGATTGTGGATGCTCCCTGGCCACAGCCCCAAGGCTCGTCCCTCCCCACCCCTACGCACAGCTCGAGGATCCTCCAGCTGCTCTCACCCTGCAGAAGCTCGGGTAGAAAACCTGATTTCCATCTCGGTCAGCGCGATCTTAACACAAATCTCTGCGAGCCTGAAGAGGAGAGAAAACAAACAGCTCGTTACGAGCGAAGACGGTGACACGGCCGCGGCGGCGGGGCTACGAGGGGTGAGGGACCCCGGCGAGGTCCCCGGGCCGCACCGCCCGCCTCCCTCCCAAGTTTCTTCCACGGCGCTTCCTGGGTTACCTGGAGCCTTGTGAACAGCCGCGGGACAGGGGCGAACGGGATGACAAGAAGCGCGCAGCCCCAGCCCCGCTCCCCTCGCCCTCGCCAGCGCCGCCCGGGACCACCCGGGGCAGGGGGCGGCGGCCCCGCCCCGCGCCCACAGCCGAGAGCGCGAGTGCGGCGCGGGCAGCGGGCGCGGGCCGGCCCCAGTGGCCCCGCGGCCCCCCCGCCGGCCCCCCGCCCCGCTCCAGCCGTGTGGGCGCCGGCCGGACCCACCTGCGGGCCGGCGGGGCCGGGGCGCCCGCCATGACGCAGCACGGGCGGCGGGAGCGTGAGCGCCGCCATCTTCCCGTGTTAGGCAGCGCCGCGCGCGCACGCTGACCCGCGCCCCGCTGCGGGGCGCCGGGGCGCGCGCGGGAGGGGAGGGAGGAGGAGGGTGTGTGCGGTGCGCGCCCCGCGCGCGGGGCCGGGGACAGCCCCGCGGGAGCCGCGCCCGGCACGGCCCCGGCGCGGCCCCGCGCCGGCCCCCGGCACGGCCCGGCATGGCCTCCGCGGTTCCGCGGCAGCGGCGCCCACCGATGTGACACGCGTGTGCAACGGGCATGGCCGTGCACAGACACGGGGGAGAGCCCACCCGGACAGAGCAGGGAGTGACACAAACACGGAGTGACACAGACACACAGGGAGTGACACAAACACACACACTGGAAGTGACACACGGGGAGTGACACGCACACATGGAGTCAAACACACACACACACACGCTGGGAGTGACAGACACACACGGAATGACACAGAGACACACAGGGAATGGCACACACACACGGAGTCACACACACCACCCCCCGCGGTACCACCAGCCCCTGAGCACCGCGGGCTGTACTTTGCGGTCTCTGTCTGGGCTGTGCGTGTGTATATGTGCGACCATTTTCAGCCTGTTTACACGCTGTGCATCCTCTGCGGGCTGTGCCTTCTCCGGCTGTGCATCCACAGGTTGTGCCTTCCCCGGCTGTGTGTTTGCCGGCTGTTTGCAGGCTGTACCTCCACAGGTTGTACCGGTGCCATCGCGGGCTGCAGTTGCCGGCTGTATCCGCAGCCCGTGCGCTCCCGCCCCGCTGTGTCCGCCCCGGTGGTCGCGGTCCCCCGCGGCCCCCGGCTCCCTGCGGGCACGGCCGTGCGGCGTGCGGGAAACGCTGCCCTGGGATCCCGCGGAGCGCTTCCCATTAGGGGCCCGCGGTTCCCGGGACCTCCGCCGCTGTTGCCCGCCCCGCGCCGAGCCGGGACGTGCCGAGCCGAGACCCAGAACTGAGCCGAGCCCAGCGGCAAGAGCCCGGGGCCCCGTCGGGCCGCGGGGCTGCGCGGTCGGCTGCGGGACTACAAGTCCCAGGGTTGCGCCGGCCCGATCGGGGCGGGCGGGCCAGGCGGGAGCGAGCGGCGGGGGCTCCCCCCGCCCTGGCTGATGTGTACGGGGCGGTGCATGGGTTGGGGAGCGGCGGGCGCGGCGGCCGGGGAGGCTGACGCCGTGTACTGCCCCGCACGGGCTCCGGCAGCCGGAATGGCCTCCAAGCTGCATGCGCGGCCGTGGTGCTGGCCGACCCCCCGGCTCGGGCAAGGGGGACGGGTGTGCGAGAGAATCGCCCGCAGCTTGTCGCGGCTCCAGCACCTCTCAGCGGCGGCAATTCCTGCGGAGAGCCTTCGGCCGGCGGCCGCACGGTGCCAGTGCCCCGCGGGCCGCCCCGTCGGGGGGAGCGGCGGCGACCGGATGTTCCTGCCCGCGCATCTTCGACGGCCGGCAGCGTGGCGATGGACTGCGGCATGAGGACAGGGGTAGGGATGGGGAATGAGATGGAGTGGGATGGGAGAATGGGTATGGAGATGGAACTAGGATCCACATCCCCCCCCCACGCCCCCCACACACACCCCGGATCGACCACAGGTTGTTTTCTTTCCGTGAATTTGGCATAGCTTATTCATCGCCTTCTCCCTCCAGCCTGAGCTGACGGAGCTGCCCGATAAAAGTGGGGTCTGATGCCGCGGGCGCCGTGGGTGTGCGACGGTTTTATCCCTGTCCCAGGTGATTAAGCTCCGGAGAGGTCGGTAGGAATAACCCACCTGCCCGTGCACTGATGGTTAACGGCGGCGTGTGTGTGTTATTAATAACTTCATCCTGCCTCAGGTGGCTGTTCAGGGATGGGGGAAAAACCTAAAGCGGTGGATGGCAGATGGCTGGAATGCTGGTGCACGCTGTGCCCGCACAACACCCACGGTGGGAGGGATGCATTGGGCACACGCATTTGTCCACAGGAGAAACCCTGCTGGGAATATTGCTTCGTGTCGTGGTGTGCTGTGGCCAGGGGCTGTGCTGTGCTGTGCCCTGTGGCTGGGCTGGGGGTGTTACAGGGTGCTGGTGTGTGCTCCCCACTCCTTATGAAACTCCTTTCCAGAAGCAGGGAGTTGGAGGAGGTGGGTGTCAGTGCCCACCCCTGCACAGGTTACCCCCTCGAGACTTTTTTTTAGGGCTGGCAGCAATCCTGCCTATCCCGTGTCTGACATCCAAGTGGAAACCCTGTGGGAGATGGGATGTGCTGTGCCCGTGTCCCAGGCTGCTGAGGTGCTCTTGGTTCTGGTGAGGCTCTGGAGCAGCCGTGCTGCCCCCCAGCTCCTGCTCGGGTTCCTCTGCAGCTGCCATTAGGCAATCCCAGTATATTTCTTTTTCCAGCAGTTCCTTCTCTCCTTTGCTAATGTGTGAAAGACTGACCCGGGGGGGAAGCTGACTCATTGGGCAGAGGAATGGTGAAACGGTGTGGAGACAAAACAAGCCAGAGAACATAAAAGTGATTTCCCTTTTTAGAAGGGTGATGAAAACAAGGAGAAAAATTAGGGAGGGTGAAGTTTTGGAGAGGTACGTGGTGCAAGGGCGTTGCACACAGCCCTGTGCTGGTCACTCATGTAAAAATATCCAGATTTCCTTTGGTAAATAAAAAGGACAATAATATTTCCTTTGGAGGGAGGTTGAAAAGTTGGAAAATCTCAATGAGGGCTTTGGCTGAAGGACAGAAAGATGGGGTGAAAAGCCAGCAGAGGTGCAGCGTGTGGAGAGGCACAGCGTGGTGAGACCGTGCCCATCTGGGAACTTCCACAATCAAGTTCTGAATTAGTCACTGTCTTGAATTTTATATTTCAGTTAGTGCTCTTGCTGTAGAGCTTCTCTGGGGACACTGGAGAAGGAAGAAGGGGCTGTGAATGGAGTTAGCTGAAGGTGTTTCCCAAAGTGTCTCGCGTATATTCAGTATCCCAAAGGAAACAACACAGAGAAGTGCAGGGAAAATTACTCAGAAGGAAACCAGCCGTACGTGTGACATTCTGGTCCCACCTTTGACTCAGCCTCTGCTTTCAGCTCTCAGTAAGCTCCAGCTATTTGCTATTTTTTTTTGCTATTTGCTTTGGACAAGCTGTTACATGACTGTGCTGCTGTGTGCCAGCTCTGGGGGAAACCAGGTGGAAGTAGATTCTCTTCCCAAGTTTATCAACTGTTCCACTGCCTTTGCATTGTGGGGGAGCTGGGGCTCTGCAATACCAACAGAATCATTACAGGCTCATCATCCCAGAGGGAGCCATGAATCCAGTGTTTTTAGAGAGTCAATGCACCAGGGATTTTTCTGCTTGCCAGTGCCAGACATAAAGTGGCCGCGGCTGAGGGTTCAGGCTGAGGGGGCACAAAGGGCTCCAGCTGCCGGAAGAAGCTGGAGAACCCAGCATGGAGAGCATTCCAGGCCCACTGCTGGTGTCCATGTTGGCATTCTCAGGGAACAAGGACTTCACAGCCAGGCAAAGCCGCTGAATGCGTGGCTGCTCCTGAAGGGCTCTAAGGTATGCTACAGCAACCCTGAAGTGCATCCGCTCCCGCCCATGTGTCTCTTAATTAGAGTCTCTCAGTGAGTGGCTGCTCTGCTGTAGGAAAAGGCCTTTTCAACATCTTGGAAGTCTTAGAAGCTGTGTTTTTGGTGCTAGGCAGGGCTGCTGGAGGGTGGTGAGCCATTTCCTTGGCCAGTACTTGCCCCGGAACCTGAGTGGTCGTCTCTGGTGCTAGTGGCATTCCAGGCTCCAGGACTGCAGTTAATTTGGAAAACAACTTAATTGGCTTTGGCTGAGAGTCTCTGAGTCTTATGTCTGCCCTACTGCTCCCTTTCAGGTGCTTTGTTGGAGGCAGAAGTGGTTCCTATCCCTTCCTCGTGATGGATTTCATTTGTTAGCATCCACCAAGGTACACACAAAACAAAATTCCAAGGGGGATGTGGGCTGGCCCCACAGTCCTTCTCCCACCTTTCCCAGGTTTTTTTGCTGGCAGAGCCACACTGTCCTGGTTGGTGGTCAAAGCTGAGCTCAGGGGATGCAGCCTGCTAGCCCTCTGCTTTTCCTTGGGGTCCCTGATATATCCCTGTGTGTGGGAGCAGCTGCAGTGCTCTGGCCATGGGGTCTCTCCCAGCACTGGCTGCTGCCCTCCGGGCAGATCCTGCTCTCCATCCAGTGTCATGGCCTGAATTTGGGGCCGCTCCAGGCTCCAGCTCCCCAAAATGACATCCTGATGCTGAGGACAGGGTTGGAACAAGGCCCTGGATTCAGTATCTGTGCCAGGAAAAAGGTCCTGGGGTCCCAAAACTGGGGTGACATCTGGTGTGGCTTAACTGCAGTGGAGCACAGACAACTGCCAGTGCCCTGTTCACACCCAAGGTTTCTCCTCTGTTAGTCCAGATCATGTTGCTGTAGCCTAAATAATAGGAAAAAAACACATGCTAAAGATTTTGCCATAGGGCAGAAAGTCCGGGGTTATCATACAGGGGTTATCATACAGGGTCTGGAGGCTGCTGAGTGC